ATACGTTTTTCTAGAAGAGCAACATAGCTGTGTAAAGAAAATATAGCGAAGAGAGTTTTTTTGGGTACTACTCACTTCCTTTTTCTTATCTCTTAATACTTCTTTTGTCCAGGTACCCACTACCTACTGAATGTTCAAAGATACCAAATAACATTATACTCTAAATATCATAATGGATACCTAATAAATATTTATAGACTAAGTGATTGAACCTCATTGGGGCAGGCATTATTATTTATGGAAACTGAGCTCCAGGAAATTAAATAACTGCTGGTGGTTACATAATTTATTAGTTGTAGAACTAGAGTCTCAGTTCATCTCTGATTTACTCCAGTCCCTGAGTGTTTCCACCTCATTATAAAGCTTCCCATATAATTCCTCCAGGACCTTCTCTTCACCGAAGGTTCGATATAATGCTTTTTTTCCCCCTCTCTTTCATTTTTCCTCCTCCTTTCTGGTCTCTATATTAAAAAATTTTAACCCTCAGTTTGCTGAGTGAGCTCTCCCTGGAATTAAGAGGGAAGTAAACTGGGTGAACAAAGTCCTACTAACAGTGGAATGAGTAATGTCAAGAAATGACACTAGTAGCAACAACATCCTCCGCCCTTATTATGTGCCTCTTAGTCCTCACAATGGCCCTATAGGGCAGATATTTTCATTCCTGTTTTATAGATGTGGAAACAAGATAGGGCTTGGTATTAAACTATATTCTCTATGGCTATAAGCCATACCACCTCCAAAACTGTATTTTACAGTTTAAAAGATTATCCTAGTCACTCAAAAACACCTCCAACAGAAGGACTGACTGGCAAAATACGGAAGGAAAACAATATTTCAACTACATGGAAAGGTTTTAGAATTAGATTAGACCAGAGGTTCTTAGTTACAGCTGCACATTAGAATACTCCTGGGAGTTTCCAAAAAATACCCAACCCTAGCAGAAAGCAAGTAAATTAAAATCTTTTCAGTCAGAGCCTAGAAGAGATTTTCTAAAAAGCCTGTTAGGGGATTCCAGGGTACAGCCAGGGTGGGTAATTACCCTGCATCTGTAGAGAATTATGCGGAACAGCCATGGTCTATGTGTGAGTTGTTCTCACATCACCATATAGAATCAGAGTGTTAATGGGGTATGTGTGTGCAACAGATGTGTGTAGGTGGATTGATTGAAATCTGGAAAGTTAAGGTTGTGTGCATTGAAAAGTTCAAGTACTATGGAGATATATTATATAAATGTACATCCTTTGTCCTAAGTAGAAGGTACTTAATATTGTGCCTAATTATGTTAGTTGGAAAAGTCAGAATTCTCTGCCAAACCTTTTATTATGCTATGATTTATAAAGATATATCTGTTTTAGTTATGATGTTCTGAGCACCTTGCATAATCCAAAGTGTTGTAGGGATAAAAGCCCTTGATATGGCACAGTATCCGGTAGCTGTATTTCCTTCCTTCCTACCCTTCTCTTGTCTTCTTATCCATCCCCTTCCTTTTTATCACTTCCTTCCTTACTTAGAAGATAAATTTGAGAGATACTAATAGAGCTGAAAGTGTTAATTTTATGGATTAAGAAAATGAATCAGTGTTTTTTTGTGCCCCTCAGCTTTCAGTCCATATAATTATAAAGAGGAAAGAATCGATTGTAGAGTTTGGTCTGCCAATTCTCAACACAAAATCAGAGGTTAAATATGCCATTTTGTTTAAATTATTCTTCTTTCCAAAAAGTATTTGAAGCTGCACACAACATAACATTGCAGAAATAAAAAGACAAATAAAGATCTTAGAAAAGATGATATAGCATTATGATAACCATAGAAGCTTAGCAGTATTTGTGAATGAATAAGAAATTTACTGTGGACTTCCTGATAGTAGGAGAAGAAACAGTTTACATAATATAGTTAGCAAAAGGAGGAAATGTAGAGTGATTACTCAGGGATGACAAGAAACTTCCGTTTTGAGACTTTGTAGGGGCCGTTCTATGTCAGGATAGCAACATCCTTGACTAGAGCTTCTTAACAAATACCAAGTAGTTTCATTAGTTCTGTTTCAGGAACTTGTAGATGTAATGTTAAAGCCAAGCTCAATAAGGTTGTTCGTCTACGGAGATGTTGGATTTGAGCTGATCTTTGTAACATACCTATTTTTTCTTTGTTTATTTTTATCATTTCCTCCTTATTTTCCATCAGAGATTTCAAGTCAAAGCATAGATGAATGAATTCTGTTTTTAACCTATGACACAATTTTGTCTTCCCTCAGTTAACTGTTTACTAACAGAGAAATTTATAACTTAGTTTTAGTTGCTCGAGATCCTTCGAAGGCCTGAGATCTGCCGTGTCTTGTTTTGGCTTTCGTTTTCCCTACAGCAACATTTGCTGATGGGGAAGAGGCTGACAGGCTGCGTTGTCTGTCTGGAAGGTAGCAAGATCAGGACTCACATGTGTTGATGTTATTGACCATGAGCCAGAGACACCTTTCCTCAAATGACTATGCAGTTGCGAAAGTAATGGTGGGATTTAGTGCAACTTAAAATATTATGGTGGCAGGCATGAGTATGGATAGAAAAGCAAGAGGTGCTCTGCTTCATCCAACGACATAAGCTGGCAGAGCCCTACCTTCTCAAAAGACTCTGAATTCCACATTTGGCAAAGTGGTTTTTGTTTTTGTTTTGTTTTGTTTTTAAGCGTAGAGTCTTCTGCTTTTGTTGTCTGGCCCTCGGGAGTAATGGTGAATTGAATCTGAGCTGAATGGAGAAGGCGATTTTTGCCACGCAAAATCTGTTTCTGTGAACTTGAATTTCAGTTGTCTTTTTCGTTTTCTTTTTGGCAGCAAACATTAATGCTTGAGGACACGCTGCCACTCATTTCTAGAAAGCACCAAATAATTTGGGTGTTTTTTCTGTATTCAGACAAAATCAGTTTCAAGTTATTTCTGTAGATACTAAACATAAATATTTAGATAAAACGAGGTTATAGATCATGTAATTTACTCCATCATCTGTGGATTTATGAATTTTTTTCCTATGGTAGATTTAAAAATTTATTGAAAGCTTACTTTGTAAAAGGCATTATAATGATTAATTAGGACAGAGTAGGGGGATACATTATATATAATAGACATGGGGCCAGCCTACTCTAAACTTCTGGTCTTGTTGAGAAGTGAAAGTATTAAATTAAGATAGTTAAATTATTTTAAAGTAGAATGTTTTTCAGAGACAAAATCATTCACTGTAGTGAAAGTTGGACATGCTTATGTCTGGGGCACCATAGAAAAGGGAGTGTAATGAAGTTAGAGATAGGTTAAGAATAAGTAGATTTTAAACCAAGTATTAAAAGAGACAACATGTGTTAGTAGAGATGACTGAATCAGGAAGGAGGAAGGTTAAGATCATACTTTGAAAGTTGTTTTGTGTTTTTGGGAAACTTCGTGAGATGGAGAACTTGTCTGTTAATAATTTTCATTACAATATTAAAATATAATCAATAAGTTACTTTTGAAATATGAGTGAGGCTCTGGTGAATGACACATTTATTATAAGTATTTGAAACATAACATTGCAGCATGACAAAATAATAATTACTAATTTTTTATTATTTTTGACATCTGCTTTAATAGCGTGTGATGTATACATATATAATTGTGTGTATGACCCCAGCATGTTCTTTTATGTTCAGATAATACACTTTTATAATCTGTTTGTGTAAGCTTGAATTTTAGATGTCTTTCATCTGTCATCTATCATCTTCAATTGTGTGACTGCTCTTTATTTATTTAAAGCCTTATACTCTAGTTTAATACTTCAAGGCTTTTATTTAGAAAGGGCCTTCTCTTTTTACATGTACACCAGACAGAAACATGTACTCTGTGTGAAACTGCTCCTTCACGCCATCAACAAGAGTCCATTTGAGAACCAGTGAGAAATACAATAGAAAATTTTAAACTGGCTGGGCTAGGGCACAGAAAAAAAAAAAGAAAAAGAAAAAAAAGAAAAAGAAAAAAAGAAAGATATTTTTCTTTGCTACTATTTAAAAACTAAAACTCTGAAAACAATATATTAAGATCTCTCTTCTGATCTTTTAAATTTAATGTTCTAAACATAACTTTTGGGTTGTTTTTGCACCATTGTTGTAGTTATCTCAAGATTCTTGTGGGTTTTTTTCTTTTTAAAGGGGCCTTTGGAACCTATATTTTAAAAACCTGAAAAATGGGTCTCCTCTTACTCATACACAAAAATAGCTCTTAATATTATAATCATAATTCATTTAGACATACTCCACTGGGACAACTAATTAGTCATGATGAAAAAGATTAGTTTATGATTCTTCCTCCATTTAAATTATATCGCTCCTATGAAGAATCCATTGTTATCCATCCATCCATTTATTCTTTTATTTGTTCATCTCCATTTATTCTTTTACTTGTTTACCAAATATGTTAAGTACCCACAATATTCAAGAGAATGAACTGGTGTCTTGATGGGTGAAAAGGTTCTACAAAATTGCCTACATCATGAGACTTTGGGAGAGAAAAAGTAGAAAATATTAACTTTTATAAGTAACACAGTTAAGTAATATGATTTAGGAATTTGCAGATAACAAAGAAAACTTTCAACCTATAGCGAGGCGGGTTAAGTGCTTCAGAAATACTTTTTCAGTTAAGCTGACCTATTCAGTCCTCCGTGTTTCTTTTTTGGATGAAGGAACATGTTTTACTCCTTAGCTTTTAGTAAAACAAAATTGAAGGTAGTTGTTCTTAATGCAGAATGCCTAGCATATGCTTAGATTTTCAAGACATTTCATATTATTAGTACTTTTGTTTTTTGTAGTTAAAATACAGACATTACTAAATACTCATTAAAATGACAAAAAGTATGAAGAGATATCTACTCTCAAAGCTCATGTTCTTTTCTTACTGAAGATGCCCTAGCTGCAGTGCGACCATGGTTTTTGACAAGTGCTTATTATGATCTTTGTTCATTTTTCTTAACTATATAACATATTACTTTCAGAGGCAAAATCAGTCGAGGCTTGGAGGATTTAAAACGTGTTGTTCCAACAGGAGAGACTTACATCCACGAAGGACTAAAGCTAGTAAGTTCTTTTCCAGTTATGCATATGGGAGAGAATGTATTCTTATGCTGTAATTAAATAATTTATAACTCTCTAGTAAAACTTAAAGACCCCATTACATGTTTATTATAGAAAAAAACTTTAAATTCTTTTAGTTGTTCTAGTGATGAGGCTGATAGAAAACATTATTTATCATGGTAGTAAGAAAAGTTTAAATGCCATTTTACCTTTAAGGGTTTTTTCTATTTTCTCTGTGGTTATAGTCAACCAAAACTAAAAGTCTATGTCATTTAAGTTCAATAGTAAGTACTCTACAATGTAAATACCTGCATATTTCAAATAAAATAGTTAACGCAAATACCAGGTTTCAAAAACCAGTCCATAATATTTTGATTTTGCCAGGCTTACAAATGCACCTTCGTAGAACATGTTGGTTCAAAGTTAAGATTAAATTGTGAGTTGGAAAATTATTCTTCATTTTCAGGCAAATGAACAAATTGAGAAAGCAGGAGGCTTAAAAACCTCCAGTATCATAATTGCTTTGACAGATGGTAAGTTGGACGGTCTGGTGCCATCATATGCAGAGAAAGAGGTGAGTATTGAACTGAAACTGTTCTTTACACCCCAGTGTATTTTGCTGTGTGTCTCTGCATGTGTAGCCTGATATTTGAATAATTCACCAATCTCTCTCTCTGTCTACCTCTATTTCTATTTCTCTCCATAGGCAAAGATATCCAGGTCATTTGGGGCGAGAGTTTATTGTGTTGGCGTCCTTGACTTTGAACAAGCTCAGGTGAGTACAGCAGACCTACAAACTTTAATCTAAAGCATGTATTTTTAAAGGATAGTTCATCAAATTCTTTTCATTAATGACTTACTATGACATTAATCAATTGTTAAAGATTTTCTATAAAAGGGCTATATCCTTGTATGTCTTGATTAATAATGTCTGATTTTGACAGGTTTCATTACTGAAAACAAAACTCTAAATTTATGGAATATTTATTTGGTTTGGAGGAACTAATATAGGAAAAATATTTGGTTAAAATAATATGAGCACTCCTGTTCTTTAACTCAACTGACAAGATTATTATCACAGTCATATTCAGATGTTTTAGTTTGACTTAAAGCTAGATCCTTAGGGGTACGAGGATTTAGGAAGTTTGCTTATGAGAAACCTTTAATAATTTTCCTTAAAAACAGTTTTTTTCATGAAGTTTTAAGGGTTTACATATTAAAAATTTTGCACTCACGAAGGGATTTTACATTTAAAATTTTGGTTGAACATGACTAAGCCTCCTGTGTCTCATGACATTTACAGTTAGTAGAGCTCCATACTGTTTTGAAATTGAAACTTGAGGCGAGTGTAAAGAGGTTGTGGCTGATCTCAGTTCATGTCATTGTGAGACATTTGAGTTTCACTAGTACTATCACTTCCAGTTTCTGACAGGCTATGCTAGTGGATTAATTCTGTGGAGTAAGTTTTCAAAAGAACATAAGTAAAATTTGATGAAGTTTATAAAGTGTTATATGTCTCAACCACCTCTTAATTAACTTATCCTCCACTTTCTAAAGCTTGAAAGAATTGCTGATTCCAAGGAACAAGTTTTTCCTGTCAAAGGTGGATTCCAAGCTCTTAAAGGAATAATTAATTCTGTGAGTATTTCTCTGGGAGCAGGAACGGCTCATAATTTTAGATATATTTTAAACTGTAAAACATAATCTTGATATCTGGTTCAGGTGGTCATTATCTTGAAGAAAAAGATTAAGAAAGAAGTTTGTTCAGTATTGCAAACACTGTGTGATTCTAAAGATTTAGATTTTGTCAGATTTTGTATTAATTCTTGCAAATTGAGCTCTGTGAGATTGGGTTTGTGATTTCAAGTTTAAGATTTTCATAAACAATCTTAGACACTTCCTCCATTTGAGCATGGTGTTCCTCACCGTCTTGATATCTGGATAGTTTTATAGGCTTTATAGAAGAAACGTAAAATAAAAATTGGGATTGGAATGTGTGATTACTTTCTTTCCAATATGGTATTTCCTAGCTATTAGTCAGGCAACTTGAACGACCGGCTGAATATTTGACTGCTCTTGTTGTTCTTTCCATTTTCATGATTAATAGTTTCACTGGAGCTCATAACATTTCTGTTTTGAATTCAGCTGAGCTGTCTCTGGTGATCATCAGAATCTGGGCTATCCTAAGCAGGGTATGGGAAGTGGAATGATGAAATGCAAAGCAAAACTCCTGGGCTTTCACAGCTGAGGTTTATGTTTCATTTTACTGCTTTTTGCTAGAAGCACTAGGCACAGTTGCTATTAAGTATTTATGATATTTGGGTAAACATCATTCTAAAATGGAAGTGAATAATATAATATTCTCTAAGTCAAAGCTTTTCCTTTAATCTTTAGTTATTTATTGAAGGGGGAAAAATCAGTTTCTTCTGACATTTGGCTCTGGCATTAAAATTTCTCTTCAAAGATCATGTTTTTTTTAGAAATACATAGTGAGATTTATTGAATTTGCTTTTTGTATCATGTAGCCTTTTTTTTTCTTTTTTAATTAATGGAACTTTTCAGAGAAAGCATACAATTTGACCCTATCACATATTAATACTTCTAGTGGACAGGTCAAAAGTAAATGCAGAATGGTATATAGATTTAAACATTTTAGGAGTTTACATATATTATTGTGTTTAGTTTTTATGAAAAAAGTGTTATTTTTATAGCTGGATTCAGGATAAATACAACTGGAATTTGTTTTAAAACATAGGAATATGGATGGACATTGCAAAATTGAGGATAATTTGACTCTATGAATATGTAAATCAATGGATTGTATTTTAAATAGAATTTTATTGTTCTTGGGAATTCCCAATTATTTTAATAGTTATACTGGGAGGAGAAAATACTTCACTGAGTTATTCCCTTTGGAATATTTTTTTCTGTATATAAAAGGTTTAACTCAAAATTCTCCAGGTGATTAATTGCCTTTTCAAAACTCTTTATGGGTTATGACTACGTAGTTCTCCTTCAGAGAATTAGGAGTTGACTATCAGAGGAGATAAAGTTGTTGTTATTCTTTGCTATATTTATTTTTTAAATTGTATTTTTTAAAATTTGTATTAGGGAAATTTTAGAGTGGAATATCTAACTATAGCCTTTTCTCCCTGAAGTTATTGATTGCTTTAGCTTGAGTAAGTTATGTTGAAATACTAAGCATATGTTGGAGCAGATGTGAAGAGAAAGGAACCCTCATACACGGCTGGTAGGAATGTAAATTGGTACAGCCACTATGGAAAATGGTATGGAGGTTCCTCAAAAAATTAAGAATAGAGCCTCTGTGTAATCCAAGAATCCCTCTTCTCGGTATCCACTTGAAAAATTTGAAACCATTTATTTGTAAAGTTTTTTGCACCCATGTGTTCATTGCAACATTATTCACTGTAGCCAAGACATTGAAACACCTAAGCATCTTTTGATGGATGATTGGATAGAGAAGAAGTGGTAGATACATACAATGGAGTACTAAGCCATAAGAAAGGATGAAATACTGCCATTTGAGGCAACGTGGATGGATCTTACAAGTACCATGCTAAGCAAAATAAATCAGATTGAAAAGGACAAGAGCCATATGATTTCACTCATATGTGAGATAGTAAACAGAAACAAACAAGCAAGCAAGCAACACAAACAAACAAACTCACAGACACAGACAACAACATGGTGGTTACCAGAGGGGCAGGGGGTTGGGGAAAAGATGAAGAGGGTAAAGGGGGCCAAATATATGGTGACAGAGGAGACTAGATTTTGGGTGGTGAGCATACAATGCAATTTACAGGTGATGAGTTCTAGAATTGTACACTTGAAACTTATATTAACCAATGTTATCTCAGTAAATTAAATTAATTTAAGAAAGACAGCATAGTAATAGAGAGATTTGTATTAATTTAACTATAAATGGCTAACAAAGCCTCTTGAATTTCATCTGGGGGAGCTCATGAGTATAGCATTCATCTCAATACAGTTAAACTTCAGCTATTTTGCCACAAAAAGAATAAATTATCCTCAGGGAAGCCAGCCTCTGGGGAAACCCTGGCAGAGCTGGCAGGAGGATAAACGGAGCCTTTACAACCAACGATGATCTCACTAATGGCTGAGATTGTTATCAACATGATTAGAGTTTGGGATTTTTGCCCATTTTGTAAAAATTTAAGGCATTTCAAGCACTTTTGCTCTCTTCAAGGCAGAAATTGCTCCACCTGATAATGTTAAAAAAAACATAATTCTGGCTCAAATTTGAATAGCACTTTATACTTTACAACATATCATCTTATCTTAAAAAGTATATTTGATATTTAAAACAAATAAAGTGTATGCATTTCAGGGTAAGGAAGTGAATATAAAAGAGAATACCCCTCTTTTTTATGATTTTTTTATGATTTATCAAACTAATGGATAAAATTTTGCTTGGAATGTATTTAAACAAAGCCAAATAAATGGAAGAAATCTGAAAATTTAAGTCTTTCAGATCTTTGGGACTATGAAAGCAAAATATTTGCTAAATTGGTTATAGTTTCCTGCTATAAGTTATTTAAATACATCTGGCCTTATTAATTATCAGTACATTATTTGGAGTTAAATCTTTAATTGAGAAAAATTGATAACATGGTTTTTCTATTTTTTTTCTCCTCCGTCTTTTGCCCATCAAAATCCACTAATCTATATGGTCTGAACCCCTCACTTTATAAAGATACCACCTTTAGTAAAGACATAGTTTGTGTGGAATCAACTTCTTAATCAGCAAGAATAGGAGTTTCATTTTGGAGCCTTTCTTTATTGCGGTTAAAAGAAAAGTAATGCTATAGTAATTCAGTCTATTATAACTTCAAATGCAAGGGACTGAAAAAGTCCTCTGTCACAAACATTTTGCATGTTGAACAATTTAATATATTTTGAAAAATTTACCTGATTCAGGAAATCATTTTAATGTTCTATTTTAATTTGAAGGGAAATATATAATTTCAAAGTTTTTTGATTTCTATCCAGGCAAACATGATATGTAACAGTTTTTGGAATATTGGTTTAATCTCCATTGTTAATTAGCATGTACGAAGGTTTAAAATTCATTATCTCAAGTAGGTACTGGTAAATAAAACACCCTTTCCTCTTTTTTACTCTTCTTTTCCCATTGTATAATATATCCTTTTATTTACTCATCTGTTGAGCTTGTACTATGCTTAGGGGCATCATGTTAGACTTGGAAGAAGAGACACACACTTAAATATCTGCTCTGAAGAGCTTGACAATAATGATAATTTGAGGTTTGAAATATGGTGTCCCCTGCAAGAATTACAAAGTGTGGGAATTAGGAGGAGGGATATTTCAGTGAGTCACCCCATGTGATGCAAAGGAATCCTATCATGCAATTTATGTTAAAATGTCAATATGGCTAAAGGTAACAGAAGAATGGGCTAAATTTGGTTATGTGAAGTCATGGAAGGCTTTTTTGTGGTGGGATTTGGATTGCGCTGTGACAGTCGGGATAGATTTAATTAGAAACAAGGAACACAGAATTTTTGGATCAACCTGGGCTGAGCGGCTGAGGCACAGGAGGGAGTGTGGCTTGGCCTGGATTATGGAGGAAAATGGGCGATAAATATTGACTGGTAGGCTGGATACAGATTATGGAGACCCTCAACAGTTCAGATGGGGAATTGTGCCTTACTTCATAAATAATTGAGGAACCACGGAAGATTAATTTAAAACATGACATGTATATGATACAGTGGATGTTTAGGAAGAACACTCATGATAATATATAGGACGATTTGGAAGATAGAAAGGTGTGTTCTAAGTCTCTTGCAATAATTTTTGTGATATGTGGTGAAGGAACCCTAATATAATTTTACCAATAATAGTGGAAGCAATGCATTTGAGAATAGGAGGACCTGACTGAGTTCCAACTCTGCCGCTGCCTAGCCATGAGACCTGTGTGTGTTCTATAATGTAGTCTCGCTGAGTGTTCTCATCAGTCAAACAGGGATAGGGACATGTGTCACTGGGTTGTTTTTTGAATTAAATGAGATAATGATTAAGGATGATTTAATTTAGAAGGGCTGGCCTTTAAAGAAATTGGTAGGGAGCTAGGAATGGCACAAAGCTAGGACCATGCAGCATGGGAGGTATTGATTCTTCTGTAGAGCAGAGCAGCCCACTCAGAGAGCGGGCCAGCATTCTAAACAATCAATGACTTGGGTCTAAAAAGGGATGGCACTGATATGTGAGCTGATAAAATCTAGCAAGTGGGTCATAATAACAAAGGTTCCTAGATGATGTAGTTACCCAAAGTCAAGTATTTGGCTGTGCCCTAATTCTAAATCATGAGGCCATGAGCCTAGGACCCAGTCAACAGCTGGGAGAGAATACTCAGTATTCCAAAGACAAAAGCTCTGCGGAATTTCAGGATGCTGCATTTGGAAAAGAGCCACATTCTTGTGCGGAAGCTGCAGTGCTAATTAGTGATTCGGAGCAGAAACTTAAGTTGTTAAGGAGGAAACAGCATCCCTCATGGACCATAGTTCCACAGGGCTTATTTCAGGCACTGGGATTCCAGGTCTGTTGAAATAAAACTAGGCCAAGAACCTTGAGGAAAA